CCTCATGACAATTAAGGCAAGAGGGAGGTTGATTGCAAGACGTATTAGAATGGTCATCAGCACCACAGACTGGGCATTCGGCGATAGATCTGCAATATTTCGCTGGATGGCCAAATCGCCAGCAATTTCTACACTGTTGCGGTGTAGGGATCACCTTTCGAACTTGTAACCAATGTCCTGCTACATAAACTGAGGATGGGAGTTCACGGCTGTCAAAAGTTAAATGAGCCACATTGCTAGGGTATCGTCTCCGCCCGCGGGCAGGAAGAACGTAAGTGTCTACCTTGAGGATTGGGAGATCTTGGAGTTCCAGCTGTTCATGAATGTCAGTGCCACATGTCTGGAAATTTTGTTGAACTATGGTATGGGGCAGAATGATGGTACCGCTACAAGAATTGAGGGAATGATGCTTTTCAATAGTTACAGGAACAGTATCGATATGGGAAAGACGAGAAAGCTCATGAGCCTGGGTAGCATTCTGTATGGTGACGATGCGCGTTACCGCTCTTAAGAGCATGAAAAGAAATATACTTTACCAACATGGCGTAGGAGTTGCCTTGCCAATACTGTGGTCAGAAAGATAGGCAGTAGAGGAAGTCAGTCATAAAGTGAAGAAATTTAGTCCATTGTGCAGTCTGAAACTGAGCATGGAAGGTAGTGAAGGACGTGTCGATCTTTTTCTGAGAAGAACGAGAAGGTGGAGAAGTATCATCAGCAGGTAATTGTCGTTGTCGTTTAGGCGTGGGACCAGAGTTGGTCCGACGTGGAACGGGCCGGCGATTCGAAAATTGCCGCACCGTAGAGGGAGAGGCCGGAAGCATAGTCAGAGGAGAGCAAAGGTCAGATAAATCGAAGGAGTCAGTCGAGGCCTCAGTACCTGAAGCGGGTGAGGAAACAGCACTGGCAAGAGGTACAGAGGCATGAGGAGTGTCCGAAGAGTGGTCCAAAGATGAGGCGGGGTCAGAACGGGGTGCAGTATCAAGAAGGGGCCCGGGGGTAGCAGGTTCATGGACTAGGGCTGCCATGGTTAGGTTACTTCTTTCTTTTTGTTTTTAAGAAAAAAAAGAAAGAAGAAAAGAAAATAAAAATAAAAAAAAGAATAAAAAAAGGGGGGACCAGGGAGGGATAGTTCCTAGGAGGAATGAAAGGGCCAGAAATCTCCCTCTGTGCCCAAGAGGACCTCAGCACCGCAAGTAGCGCATATGCAGCATGGAACCCGTGCCATACCCTACCCAACATGCCAGTAAACCGGCAATCCAGGATAGCAACCTCACATCTGCTGAGCTACCTCGGTGGACAAAAGAGAGGGTGGCTGGAAATCCGCCACAAAGCATACCTCCTTCGGCCACCACCCCCGGAATCCGAAAGGTGGCTTCCAGAGATACACCCGTCGCCCGAGAGACACCCAAAGCCACCCTCCGGGATACCGGAGAGGGATCAGGACATCCCCAGGCAATCCAGATTCCACGGCAAACTACGCCACTGCCAAGAACTTCAACGGAATGGGATGGACCCCGGTACCCTTTCCCCTACCTAGGAACTAGCGTGCCTGTGGAAAAAAAAAAAAAGGCCAAAAAGGAAGGGCAAAAGGGAGGGGTGGGGAGGAGGAGGAGGAAAGGAAAAAGGGGAGGATGGGATAGGGAACGGGGGATTGGGGGGTAATTAGGTTCGGTCTGAGGAAGTAGACCGACAGGTCTAATTCCTCAGACCAAGAGCCTCTTCACCACGCCAAGGAGCCCCCCTTGAAGAGGACCAAGTGCATAGTATGTGCACAGGCTTGGTTTCCGTTTGCCTTGGGTCTCTGTGACTGTATTCCCTGTTGGTGCATGTTTACCTGTCTCATTCCTATCATCACTAGTACTAACAATGGAGCTCTCACCAGTTGTTTCTGGTAATATATCCTCACTATTTCTAGTGGAGTCCCCTTGTTTGGTATCTTATGTGGTATTACTAGTTTGTAATATTGGTTTTATCTTGTCCTTGACTACACTTGTTTCCCCACTACAGCTCCTGTCTCCCTCAAGATCATTTATATGCATTCCCTCATGCGTACATTTACTGACTACCTGGACAGCACCTTCATCCTCACCATTACTGCCTCCCAGGACAGCACCTCCATCCTCACCATTACTGTCACCCAGGACAACACCTCCATCCTCACCATTACTGTCACCCAGGACAGCTCCTCCAGCCTTACAGTTTCTGACTACATGGCCAGTATCAAGGGCGATACCATCCAGCCCAGACTTTTTATTTTCCCATCTGTTATAGAATGCTTCCAGGTTTTCTATGAAGGTTGCTTTGATGTTATCCTCTTTTACATAATACCAATGTGATTTTACTCCACAGATTGATCTCATTTGGACATACCAAAAAACACTTCCCTGATTTAATACTGCTTGTAGATAGTTCTTGGACATCTGCACAAGGGGCATAACACCAATTTTCACAAAAATGGCAAGTAATCCATGCAGAAGCCAGTTTATTTGATTGACTGCAGACTACACAGAGCTTCATAATGTGATTTGCAATGGTTGATTTACTATAGTTCTGCTAGTAACCCTTTGAATATTCCACTAATAACCTCCTTAATGTGAAGATCTGGCTATTTGTATTTCTATTTCTAACTGTACTTGTATATTAGGACAGCTTACTGGTGTACGTTCCTGTTTTATATTTACTCTTTTTGTTTGACAAGGGCGCCTAAAACCCTGTCTGTTTACAGTCTGCTTTATTGTCCAATGAACCGTTTGAAACTGGTCAAGGGTTCGGATCAGCCAAGGGTTCGGAACCAGTCGGATCTGATCAGTGGGTCACTTATTTAAAACATATCTGGTCGGTGATTTGGCCTAACACATGAAGGAACTACTGGAAATTATTTAACTGAGTAATATATGATTAGATTGATACAAAAGTATAACTTGCGGTACCACTACAGTACCACTGTGATATACACTACAGTACCACTGTGATATATACTACAGTACCACAGTGATATACACTACAGTACCACTGTATATACACTACAGTACCACTGTGATATACACTATAGCACCACTGTGATATACACTACAGTACCACTGTGATATACACTACAGTACCACTGTGATATACACTATGGTACCACTGTGATATACACTATGGTACCACTGTGATATACACTACAGTACCACTGTGATATACACTACAGTACCACTGTGATATACACTACAGCACCTCTGTGATATTCACTACGGTGCCACTGATATACACTATGGTACCACTGTGATATTCACTACGGTACCACAGTGATATACACTACGGCACCACTGTGATATAAACTATGGTACCACTGTGATATACACTATGGTACCACTGTAATATACACTACAGTACCACTGTGATATACACTATGGCACCACTGTGATATGCACTATGGTACTACTGTGATATTCACTACAGTACCACTGTGATATTCACTACAGTACCACTGTGATATTCACTATGGTACCACTCTGATATACACTATGGTACCACTGATATACACTATGGTACCACTGTGATATTCACTACAGTTACAATAGTGATATACACTACGGCACCACTGTGATATACACTATGGTACCACTGTGATATACACTATGGTACCACTGTAATATACACTACAGTACCACTGTGATATGCACGATACCACTATGTATGACTATTTTTTATCAGAGGGACTTTCTTTATCTAAGTTTTCTTTTTTTGCACACGGGAGCCTAGGCCTACAGTTCCCCTTTGGGAGTATGGCTCTGTTATGTTATTGTCTAACATAGGTCAATAGACTTGCCTAGCATGGGTCAGTATGCCTGCCTAGCATGGGTCAGTAAGCCTGCCTAGCATGGGTCAGTAAACCTGCCTAGCATGGGTCAGTAAACCTGCCTAGGATGGGTCAGTATGCCTGCCTAGCATGAGTCAGTAAGCCTGGCTAGTATTGTGATGTAGTTCAGCTGGGCTTGTGAGGTCTCTTGGGAGACCTTATTTAACCAATTGTATGGTCACCTTGCCTTGGCAAATAGCTGTCAGAGCCACGCCTTTTCGGCTTAAGTCTCAGCTCCTTTGTTCGTCACTGGCGTCAGACGTCGGCGTCAGGTCGTAACACATGGTTGGTGCACACCCCATTGTGGGGGGTGCTTGGACCACCATATAAGCCCAAGGAACAGCTGAGCAGGGGACTTCAAGCAGAGCTGCTGCTGTGTGCAGAGCTCTGAGCAGGGAGAGTCAAGCAGAGCTGCTGTGTTGGGCAGAGCTCTGCTCTGACTGGGCTCCCTGTTGGAGACATTGGGCTTGGAGCAGTACTCGTGCTGAGTAGGTCTTGGGACCTGTGGCTGAGTTCCTGTGGTGAACTGTCTTCTGAACAATATTGTAAGTTATATTCATTTTGGTCAAGTTGATTATATTCCCTGTCTCACTGCTTATATGTACCGCCCCATTTATCTAAACCCCAATAATGTACTCCTGTTCCCAAATATATTATTGTACAAGGATTTAATAATAAACTGTGTTTGAGTAGAATAGTAATATTCACTGTCCCCGTTATTGACTCTTTTATTCATTATTTTATTTCAAGTAGTGAGAGGGTGAGTAGTGTGGTAGTAGAGTAATGAGAGGTGAAGGTGTAGTCACCAGTGACCTCACATTACCTACAGCTCGCCGCAAATCACTCGACTCAGACTCTCTTGTCTTACTCCCCTTACTCCGTTATTCCCCAATTATCCGTTCGTCCATTACACCCCCCTACATGACAGCATGAGTCAGTAAGCCTACCTAGCATGGGTCAGTAAACCTGCCTAGCATGGGTCAGTAAGCCTGCCTAGCATGGGTCAGTAAGCCTGCCTAGCATGGGTCAGTAAGCCTGCCTAGCATGGGTCAGTAAGCCTGCCTAGCATGGGTCAGTAAGCCTGCCTAGCATGGGTCAGTAAACCTGCCTAGCATGGGTCAGTAGTAAGTGACTCATCAGGATGAACAGTGTGACTCACCAAGATGTGCATACAGTGCACGCAGATTAGGCCCATAATGGGCACACCAGCTAGGCCTACCCAGAGTCCAGCGTTCATGAAGGCCTGGGGCATGGCCAGTACCCCACTACCAACGTTACCCTTCATCATATGTAACAGCGTTTCACAGTTCCTGCAACACCAAGTGTGATAATAGTAACAGTAATAATAATAATAATAACTGTATACTCTGTTGAGCTTATATTTCGCACCATGCTTGTGCTGCCATCTCGCGGGCATAGGCCTAGCTTCAGTCTGAGATGCTGCCTCATTCTCACTATCCTGGCAGACATCCTACAAGCAACAAGTCAGTCCCTCCTCCCTCTCTCTCACACAGGCTGGGACCCTGGCTGGCCTCACGGGTCAAGCCTACATACACTGCCAGATTAGATTTTGCCACCGAAGTGGCTAGTTTATTGTGCACCCCATATCCATCCTGTGGACGGTAGCGCGAGAGCATATGGATACACAAAAGGCCTAGGAACTAGGCCCCAAAGGGTTAACAGGAATACATATGGATTTATATCTACATATCTATAGTTCACTTATCTGTTACAAGCAAATTTAGGAAATTTGCTTAGTATATCTGGTATCTTATTTTCATTAATAAGATATCATGACATGTACATAGGTTATTTTCTGTCTCTGTATTCTCAATAAGTGGACAATTAAGCACATAGTGTTCAAGAGAGTGACCATATGCCTGATCACATAATTTACTTTTAGTTTGATCATCATCTGTGTGTCTCCCAAAGTGCCAGAAGTACTTGTAACCAAGCCTAAGCCTGGCCACTACAACATCAGTCAGTCTGTTCACATTGCAAGTTGTTCCATAAACATACTTATCTACGTTCATGTTATCGTAGTGGGTTATAGATCTACTCAGGCTTCTAACTGCATTCCTATAACAATCATTTTCATTATTTACTTCTCTCCTAATATTATTCCTAATGCTAGACACAGTTATACCAAAGTTATATTCTACATTCTCCTTCTGGGTACTCTTCTTGGCTAACATATCAACTTTATCATGAAGGAGTAATCCAATGTGTGATGGGATCCATAGCAATTGTACATTAATTCCTTTGTCCCTAATTTTTGAGTATCTATACCTGGCTTCTCCAATGAGCATGTTATTGGAGTATACTTGGGAAGGGTTTCGGGACTTTGCGACCCTGCGGCCCGGTCTGAGACCAGGCCTCATGCTGCACCAGGCTGCACGTAAACCGACGTAAGAACCACAGCCTGGTTGATCAGGTATTGACTTTAGGTGCCTGTCCAACGCCTTTTTAAAAACAGCCAGAGAAAAAGACCCCCACATACCATCAATACGACGACATTCATCTTTGCAAATACACAATGTCTAAAGCCAGCAAGGAATAACAAAATACCTTTCATCTGTGGACTGCTTACAGATTCGAAGAAAATGTTCGCAGTTCTCACAGAGACGCACATAAAGAATCACCTAGACAATCAAATATGGATTCCGGGTTATAACCTATTTAGATGTAACAGAGTGTGCAGGCAAAGGGGATTGTTGTTCTGTACATCACAGAGTCGCTGATATGTTCGGAACTACTAAACACCTCAAATGATGTTATTGATGTCTTGGCAGTAAAGATAGGAAACCATAACCTGGTCATTCTTTTTGTATACAAAAATCCAGAAACAGCTTTTGAAAATAGACCACTGTCTAGAAAATCTTCCACCTCCTGCCTCAAATATCTTGCTCCTGGAGGATTTCAACCTAAAGCACCTAAAAAAGAGGAATGTAGCAAATAATGGAGAAGCAGAGATAACTCCAGGAGGCAGCTCAGATGAGAACACACACACACGAGCCTCTAAATCTCTGCACCAAATTCACCTTAAACAAGCACCACATCTTCACTAACAATGATGATCTGATATGAAATAATATTACCATATAAAAAACAACACACTTAGATCACAACACAATAGAGGTTCAGACATGTATGTGGGGCCCCAGACCAATAAAACGTGATCAGTCACGAGGGAGCCTTCGCGAAATTCAACTTCAATAACAAAAACATAAGGTGGGACCAAGTTTACCAGGTCCTAAATGATGAAAACTGGGAAGATAGACTAAGCAACATGCATCCAAACCTATGTCTAGAAAAAATTAACTCTGTGGCACTTGAGGTATGCTCAGGCATATTCTTTTAAGGATGTGGAAATTTGTCTGGACTTCCTCCATGTGAGTTGTCTACCCTAGCAAGCTCTGTTGACACCGAGCCCTGAGGCTGGTACCTCAGCCTCACAAGTGGCTTATAGGACAGATTTCCATAAATTACTGATGTTGCAAGAAATCTCGCCTGCATGCACGTATAAAGGACTAATTTGCTTGGTGTTGGAGCATATATCCCGGTCTTCAACCTCCCTAAGCTTTAGCCCCTCTGGATTTCCCCTCAGAACCACATGCAACTGGGAGCCTTAATTTCTGCAATATTCAGTCGGTATTAGTGACCTGCCTGTACCTCAGAAATTCCTGTTTCCGAGGGGGTGTGTATCCCTTGGTATAACTATGCTTAACCATGAGGAGATGCTGGCACGTACCGATCATGGGCTGCCCACCTGCACAAAGGTCCACAGCTCAATTCACTCGCAATTTCCCCCAGAAACCGGTCAGAATACTGAGGAAGAAAGGGAGGTCTCGTCTTACTGTATGGGCCTGACGGAGGTGGTCATCTACGGTTCTTCGAGGTGCCTCCACCAGATTTTCCCAGGTCTAGTATGTGAAGACACGTGGGGACACCGCCCTGCTGTTCACGGCACTTGTTGTTCTGATGTCTGGTCTTAGAAGGAAGCACTGTGGTCTCAAAACCCCTTGCCCCAGCATTCAAACTTGGGCTGCCAGTTCTCCCTGGCTAATATAACCTAGTGTTTGCCTACATTACCGGCCTATTACTACCTACGTTAAGGTCTTAGGTCTACATTATTATTATCTAGAGTTGCCTCAATAGTCCTAACATTAGTTCACTAACAGTATAAACTACCTACCTCTTCCTTGAAGGGTAAATCTATCAATTAAGATGTACCTTCCAACCACCTTCGCCAACCCGGGTGTATGTGTGTGTGTGTTTTGGGTGGGTGTAAGGGCCACCCAACCCAGCCATTCCATCCGTGACATGTTGGGATCTTCGTATGACGTATCTGTCCTGTGGAACTTTAGGACTGAATAAGTTTCCACATCCTCCCGCCGGCAACGGTAGCCACTGGGTCTAGATCAAGTCTGCCTCATGCAGGCCCTCCCAGTGGGCCCTGGACTTGAGCGCCGTTTGACGGATCATCCGGCCACTCTGGTCGGTCAGCCTCTGGTCTAACTTCTGTCCCGGTCCCACTGTGTGGACCTCGAGAGGCAAAAGCTTGTTGATGGGCATTATGGTCTCGGCACCATTCATTCTCACCTTCACCATCCTCAACCGTCCAGCCTTATCTGGGTGGGTCGATACCACCAGGCCTAGAGGCCAGTATGCCCTGGGTGCCTCAGCTTCTACTAGCACCATGTCCCCTTGATTCAACGTCATCTTGTTTGGCTCGGGGTCAGCCCCATAGAAATGTTCTCACAGAACTGTCAGGTAATCACTGTGCCACACCTGGTTCCATTTGTCCAGGATGCTCACCAGTCTATTGTGACTTGTGTAGTTCTTCCTTGACGGGGGACCATCTGGCCCATAATAATCCTGCTTCTTGGAAGACTAGCTCAGAATTGCGAGGAAGGGCTCAATCCTCCTTCCAGACAGCATATGATTGGGGCCTGTTATTGACTCTTGCCTCTGTCTCGGCTAACACTGTCCTCAATTCATCAGTGCTCACTCTCTTGCCATGCAAAACCTTCCGAATGCACCTTTTGACTGTGCCCACCATGCATTCATAGAAACCCCCTTGCAAAGGTGCTCTGGGAACTATGAACTTCCACTCACACTCTGTTCTCTTCAGATATTCTCGTACCTCTCTGTTGCCCATAAGATTCCTGAAGACTTTATCGGCCGCTCTGAAGCTCGTGCCATTGTCTGAGATAATCAATCGCGTGCATGAAAATCTGGCTGTAAACCTCCTGAACAACTTCACGAAAGTCTCTGTCGACATATCTTCTGCCAACTCCAAATGTACGGCTTGAGTAGTTGCACAAGTAAACAGGCAGACATATACCTTCTGTGGGCCTACCCTATCGTCTCCTGGGTTCTTCAGTGTGATAGCCCCAGTATAGTCTATTCCCACAGTCTCAAAGGGCCTGTCACTATGTACCCGCTCCAGAGGCAGCGGTGGGGGACCTGGGTACTGGGTACCCCATCGTACTGCCGGCAGACAGTGCAACTCTATCACCCTTTTGACGGCAGCTCGGCCTTTCAGCACCCAGTAATTCTGACGAAGGCTGGTAAGGGTATCTCCAAACACCCCCATGCATAGTCCTCTGATGAGCATCATTTATCAATAACTGACACCCACCTCTCCTTTCCCATTAACACGGGATGTTTGACCCCATAACTGAGCTCAGAGTTTTGTAGTCTTTCCCTGCATCTTATCAGCCCAGCATGATCTAGGAACAGTTCCAATGAGTGGACCAATTTACTGTTCCCAGAGCTGCAGTTGGGCCCCAGACCCGACGTCATATCCTGCTGCCCTGCCCCCAGTACCTCCAGAACTCCAGGAAACCTCCCCCTTTGGTACTGCCATATCCAATACTCTCTGGGACCCACGAGCGACAACTGTCGACCTCTGCTTACCTTGTCATGCAGCTTTCTCACAAATTGAAACACCATTTCTGTGACTCCTATAAGTTTCCTCCAAGAGGAGTAGCATCTGGGGTCAAATTAAGTGTTGGGTTCCCCCACAAAGTGCACTATGTCGCTGGTTGTCTCCCTGAATTTCTGCTCTGGCCTGCACTCCTTTGCTGGTAACCTGTCTGGGCCTTTGAACCAGATCTGTAGGCACATACAGAACTGTTGACGTTGACTGTAGCTCCTGTATCTCTTTCACCCGATTCCTGACATAGGGAAGCTTGGACCTGTCGTTCTGGACCCACTGTAAGGCCACCTCCAAGTCTGTCCATATATAGGTGTGTGTCACCCTCAGGTTACTCAACACCTCCTTTACATACTTCCCCAGCCTTGC